TCGAATCATAATGAATATGAGCAATGATGTAGATCATCTGGTTGCTTTAGACGCTTTAGACTGGAAGCCACTTAAAACGGAAAGAATAAAGGCTAAGTCCAAACTGATGTTTAAATTGTTGAATAAAATGGGTCCTAAATCACTTACTGATTTATTTACTTTCAAAAGTGAAATGACAAATTATAAACTTCGAGATGTTGAAAGTACTCTTTGCTTACCACAGCCGCGTACAAATAGCTTGAAAAAAGTTTCATGTTTGACGGGGCACACATTTGGAATTCTTTACCAACCGAAATTAGAGAGAGCAACTCCATCATGTCCTTTGAAACTAAAATCGCTACTCACATTTTTGAATACTCACATTTTTGAATAGCATTATTATTCTTATACTTATATAATTATGTATATATATATATATATATATATATATATATATATATATATATATATATATATATATATATATATATATATATTTCTTACTGTATGTAATATCTTACTATATACTATATCTTTGTAATTTTATTATTGTACACGCCCCTTGTGGAAATCAGCCTAGGTTGACAATGGTTAGCGTGTTTAAATAAAAGTTTCTATCTATCTATCTATCTAACCATCAGACTACGATATGACAAAATAAGCTCACCATAAGAACTTGTTTTCTTTCAACATTTGTAACAGCCAAGAGTGACTGAATTCCATAGAAAATCCCGCTTGATTCAGGCGCTGAAATTGTGATTGTATTTTCTTTCACATCAACTTGGTATCTCTCCTTACTAGTACTGCTTCGTCCGTCAATTTTCACATCAACATTTTCTTGTAAAAGACGCAATATTTTAGTATTGGTTACAGCAGTGTTAATTCCTATAGAGAGCTTTAGTTTGTTCCCAAGATACTTGGCTTCATTCTCATATTCTGCTGATGTAGCAATCACCCAGTCATTAATGTTCACATATTTTCCACTTTCTACCTTCATTTCAACAGGAGTTGGTATTATTGACCCAGGTTCAGGTTTCTTTGTTTCCACCTCAATTTGTTTCAAACGCTCTGCTGGTGTAAATGGATTATACTTATCGTCTTTAGTTCGCTTCCATTTTTCCTTCGTATCAAACTTCCCGACAAATTTCAGATCTTCGCCAGACGTCATTTTAACATTCACAGCCTTGAGACCCTCAGACGCAATATACCAGTTAGCCATTACATCCGTCCTTGCAACAGAGAAGTATTGAGAGTCGAAATCGAAAGACAGATTTTTACCAAATGAGAGTGCTCGGAAACCTTGGAAAACAAATAAATGCAAGATATATAATAAAAACAGATCATGTTCCGAGTTGTTTGGCGATCAATGTTATTCTTTGCTTTTCATCACGATTATTTCGCAAAATGTTTCAGTCCACAAAAACAAAGCAAAAAAAACAGAAAAGTGACACGTCTATAATTAAAGTGTATAACTATCCTCTTATATGATAATACACCCTTTCGATAATTACGTCACACATACTTTTTGGTCTTGGAGCCTTGCTCTCATTAGTAATTTACGCAAGGTGATTGGCTCACGATTCATTAGAGCGAGGCTCCAAGACCAAATGACGTAATTATCGAAAGGGTGTATTGCGTAGAAATATATAGATATATCTGTAACGGTAATCACCAGTGACTCATTCTTTTACATCCGCAGTCAATCATATTTTGCAAACTACGGAAACAATGGGCCTAAAAGCAAAGTTGTGCGCTATAACGTTAATTAAAACTGTAGGGAGCCTCCTTAATAGACGATAGGATAGAACAGGATAGGATAGGATATGATATGATAACACTTTATTTGACTGTGCTGGCCCCTTCAAGTCCTTCAACTGAAGCTTCTTTCCAAGTGGGGCGGTAAAGAATATAATATTACAAATATATAAGGCTCGTTTATACGACAGTCATTTTGGGAGGCTTTTTGGTCGGTCGATTGTGTTTACACGACGAAATTTTTGTTCTAAACATTTTGGATTCTGCACGCCTAAATTTCCTAGGAACGAAGTCGCTAACAATATCTAAATTCAAAGACCAAAATCTAAAGACCAAAATGCAAATTATTTTAATAAATATATTTAAATTGCATGCAGCTTCGATGTGTAGGACTCGCTGACTTTTTCGTTTTGTTTGTTTTGTTTTAATGACTTTATCACTCAATTACAGATGATAGGTGGGCAGACAGAGCACAGCCCTAATCTGACTATTCCTTACTACATATACAGTGAGCTTTAATGAGCCATATAATACTTGCCACTCCTTTCGCAAACAAGTTTCAGCATTTGTGCAAATACGAAATGAAATACTGACCTTGTACAGGTTCCAGTTTAAAAAGTGACCCAGTAATATGAACAAATTTCATCCCAACATTCGGTATAATATATCGACTTGGATTTTCCAGTAAATGTTTAGGTTCAATCAAACGAATAAAGTTGAAATATATAGCCCAAGGTCCGTGTCGTATCTCTTTAGTTCCTCTGTTGGTGAGAGTCAGTCTAGATCTATAGGTTTCCGCACTTTCCAAGTTGTCAAGAACTTCATAATGTATATCAAGGTTGTTGGCGATATATGCCAACCCATCTTGAGTGAAACATGAAACATGGTTGCAATAAAAAACTCCTGAATAAATTAATATAAAAATCAAACCAAATAATCAACAAAACCAAATTGAAATAATGATGGCTATTGCTTAACACAATTTTTCCGAAGCATTATGTGTTATTAAGTACTGTAACTTATGCAAAATACAAGAGCGGAAACGATGCCTTTAGTTTAGACAATTACCCAATAGAAGAACCACAAATAGTGACTTCCCAACCGGTATTTCAATCATTTTCTATAAAGTAAAATAGAAAAATTATGCCAATACATGCAAAAAATTAATATAACCGTCAACATGTAATTTTAAGAAGGATTACGTTCAGAATGAGCCGTCAGTTGAGCGGCAAAGAACATACAGGATATACGTCTCCCAATGTCTTGTGTTTCTCGTGCCGTTGTCCAAAACAGTTTGTCGAAGAGTTGTCCTTCTTTAAACTGTCTATGATCAAACTTGCGCGTGATAAACAGAATAAATATGAATAGGTTTCTTGTTTATATGCACAATATAATGTTCTGATTTTTCCCTTAGCCACTACAATACTATATCTGGTACGTGAAACGATACTGACTCCAAATAAACACGAGATTTAACTTTGAGTTTGAACAAGGTGACACAATATTTACATGTTTATTATACACTCAGAATCGGCATTTTTCTTGTAATATGAAACCACCAACATACGACGTTTTAATTAAAACAAGACGCCTACTCAGGCGTTCACACTGACCTGAAAATGATGATATGCGTGCTATGGATGACGAGCCAGACAGCTCCAGATTGGCAGCTCCAGATTGGCAGCTCCAGATTGGCGAATCTGGAGCTAGCTCCAGATACAATTTCAATATGGAGCTGGAACGACTAGTTTCTAAACAAACTGCTTTGACCGCTTAACTACCGATGGATACTCAATTTTTTTGAAAGACCATTTTTTCTTGTCATATTCCTTAGTACGTGAAGGAAAATGAAAACATTATTCCGTTCCGTTCGTCCATGGTAGCTTCTGAAAGATCACTGGGTTTTTTTGACAAAGGGAATGGTCAGCGGTCGGATAGATGGCAAAGCTCGTTTAAAACCTTATTTTGTTACCTTCATAATGAAAAACTTAAAAATTTGATCGATGACCGTTCTGGAGAATGTGTTCAAAAGTAATTTCATGCGGTCAACTTATTTCCACGTCGCGAGACCGCGATAAATAACTCGCGCAAAGTCGAACTGTCTAATTTCGCGCACGGCCCGGCTGTGTTAATTTTATCCTTCCGTGAATACAGCAACTTTGGTATCCGTAAATTTACGCTTTCGAGGAGTAAGAAATTGATATTTTGATGACATAATATCATTTGTTGCGCTTTTCTGAAGAACTAACGATATAAACATGTTTAATATCCGAAACACACAACGAAAAGGAGATCGCTGAAAACGGTACGGTGTTATATTTATGCGGCTCAAGTCGTCGAAAGGCCATAACATGTCAAATACGTCTAGCATCGTCTAAATTGCTTCGCAAATTTCTTGCTAATTTCGCCCTACCACGAATTTCTAAAAGATGACCCTTCTAGAGTAATAATCATACTATCATATTTTATAGCATTTGAAACTTTAGGATGCATATCCACCATGAGCAACTCATGAAAACACCAACATTCGTTACCGAGATGAGAAATCAACTTTCAAGAGATGTGAAATATTACACCTAAACAATATTCCGTGTTATCTGGCACGTGCAAGACATTTAATAATCTCAGGGGAAACCTGTATTAACTATAATGTCATGCATGGGTTTATATACGCTGTATTCTTTTTTCAACACATAAGCTAAAACATCGTTTTTGCCCGTATAAGTTAATTAATAGGAGTGGTGTGTTTTAAGCATTCCTTATTAACATAATCAGCGCAATCGCAAATTCAAACCTACGCATGCTTTAAAAATATTTTATCTTTGTGAAAAAGCGTCGTGTTTTCTCATGTATAAATATTGAAAAATACAGCGCATAACTAAACAAGGAAAATTGCCTTGTTCCTATATTCCTCGGCACTCTTAAATGCCTTGCCATGTCCTCATTGCATTTGCTGATTTGCTTGCCGACATTAAGGCCTAATTCCACGACGAGCGAAATGCGAAAAATTTCGCGCGAAAAGGTTGGACGCATGCGCAACATGATTTTGGAATGTTTCTCAGCGAAATATTTCTCTTCGCTGGGTAGTTGAATTCGTTTCTACTCCCTTGCGAAATGGAAATAGCGAAACCAATCAAATGCTTGTGTTATGGATGACAAAATAGCGAAACCAATCAAATGCTTGTGTTTTGGCGAATTTTTTCTCTACTGTGGAAATCACTACGAGAGAAAATTTTCGCACAAGTGTGTTTTCGCACGAAATATTTCGCATTTCGCTCGTCGTGGAATTTAGCCTTTATAGATAATGCGGTTTCTCCCTGAGATTATCAAATGTCCGGCACGTGCCAGCTGATAACGTGTTTTATTGTTTACGTTTAATATTTCACATCTCTTGAAAGTTAATTTCTCATCTCGGTAACGAATGCTAGTGTTTTCATGAGTTGCTCATGGTGGATATGTATCCTAAAGCTTCAAATGCTGTAAAATATAATAGTATGAATATTACTCTAGAAGGGTCATCTTTTAGAAATTCGTGGCAGGGCGAAATTAGCAAGAAATTTGCGAAGCAATTTAGACGATGCTAGACGTATTTGACATGTTATGGCCTTTCGATGACTTGAGCCGCATAATGACACCGTTTTTAGCGATCTCGTTTGCGTTGTGTGTTTCGGATATTAAACATGTTTATATCGTTAGTTCTTCAGAAAGGCGCAACAAATGATATTATGTCATCAACATATCAATTTCTTACTCCTCGAAAGCGTAAATTTACCGATACTAAAGTTGTTGTATTCACGGAAGGATAAAATGAACGCAGCCGGGCCGTGCGCGAAATTAGACAGTTCAACTTTGCGCGAGTTATTTATCGCGGTTTCGCGACGTGGAAATAAGTTGACCGCATGAAATTACTTTTGAATACATTCTCCAGAATGATCATCGATCAAATTTTTAAGTTTTTCATTATAAAGGTAACAAAATAAGGTTTTAAACGAGCTTTGCGATCTATCCGACCGCTGACCATTCCCTTTGTCAGAAAAAACAGCGATCTTTCAGAAGCTACCATGGACGAACGGAACGGAATAATGTTTTCATTTTCCATCACGTACTAAGGAATATGACAAGAAAAAATGTTCTTTCAAAAAAATTGAATATCCATCGGTAGTTAAGCGGCCAAAGCAGTTTGTTTACAAACTAGTCGTTCCAGCTCCAGATTGAAATTAGGGAGCTTTAGATTTGACTACGAGTACGACTACGAGTACGAGATTCGTCAAGCGAAAACGCATGCTGTATGCTTACGCCATCCCGTACTGACGCGAAAAAGTCGTAGCCGTCGCCCATCTGAGAACGAACTTGCGGAGAAATCTCGTAGTCCTCACGACGACTTTTCAAAAAAACAAAGAAAGTTGGCTTTTTTTTGTTTTCCAAAAATAATTTGTAGCATTTATATAGTGTTTATCCGGCGCAAATAATATATTAATACTAAATATCTGGCCTGTTTTTAATGTCATGACTTATTTTCACGTTTTGTAGGGGATTTTAGTCAGCAGGAGATTTAGTTTATGAAACTTTTTCTCTCGTTGTTGGTTTACTGCTATAAAAACAACATTTGAGTGAAAACGAAAACGACTACGGTAATTTCCTAGCACGCGATCAAATCTCGTACTCGTAGTCGTACTCGTAGTCAAATCTAAAGCTCCGTATTGTATCTGGAGCTGGCTCCAGATTCGCCAATCTGGAGCTGCCAATCTGGAGCTGCCTGGCTCGTCATCGTTTCCCCGGGTGTAAATAGCCGGGGGGAATTAGTACCCTCGCACGGCGCTTCGCGCCGCCGGCTCGGGGATTATATTTTTCTTTCCTTGTAAATATCTTGGGCTCATTTTGCCTTTCTCATGACGCCGCCATTTTTGATGTACAGTAATTTTTCGTAAACAATTATATAACAATCTGAAAAGCAATATTTGAGAACAAACTTACTATTTACAGAGTAAATTTACCATCATACACCCACAAAATTATGAAATATCGCCGTTACACGTAACACTCGCAGGATTGGCAAAAAAGTGCCCCAAAAATGGCGGCGTGAGAAAGGTTAACTCGTCAGAAAGTCTGACGCAAAGTAACAAACTAAAAAAGCCTTCCCACTGAGCCGTTTCAAAGAATCAATGCAATATCACAGAATAATTTCTTACAGAGGTCTCACACAAAATGCCCTAAAGAGAGACAGTCACCCCCTGAAAACATAATGAAATTTAATAGTCCAGGGGGGGAGGGGTGATTGCCTTTCTTTAGGGCGCTTGCTAAGAACATGGCCGCCGGAAATGCGTAGTAAAAACCATTTGAAAATGACCATACTGTTTTCCCGAAGAAGTGATACTAAACATCACATTAAAATTTTCAACTCATGACAGCGACTGAATTTCCATAAGATAACAAAAAATCCATAAATTACAAATGCTCTCCCAAATCATCCCAAAATATCACACTTTATTCCACACATGTTTCAACGATTTGAAATTTGGAGCCAGGGGCACCAAGTAAAGGGCATTTTCCACTAGGCGGAATTTTCCGCGCGGAGAGGAATTTCTCTTTGTCTTTTCTAATCAGTTCCACCCAAGAAATCACAAGACAGAGAAAAATTCCGCTCCGCGCGGAAAATTCCACCTTTTGACTAGCGAGTCGACTTTATCCTTTTGTCCAAGGGCCTGTTCATATGTGGAAAAGTTATCCCGGTTAGCGAGAAAACATTTTGACAAGTTTACAAGCGAGATCTCGCCTTGTCAGTGAAAATAATAAAAGTTAAACTGTGTTCATATGAGACGAAAAGTTTTCCTGTGTACCGAGATCTCGCTTGTAGACCGGGATAATGTTTTTCCCATAAGAAAAAACAACATAGCGCAGTCACAGCGGGAATTGAAAACTTTCCGTCATGTCAGCAACTTTTCTGTTTTTAATTAAAATGAGTTTAATGTGGTGTTTTTACTTCTCCCGCCTTACTCGTCACACCAATGCTACGTCATAGTCGGAAACTTTACCCGGTAAGCGCGATAACGTTTCTTCATATGAACAGATCTAGAAGAAAAGTGACTATTCGAAATGTTTTCTCGTTAACCGGGATGACTTTTCCCCATATGAACAGGCCCTAAAACCAATTAGTCACAAATGTTCCAGCTGAAAGCTCAAGGATTATTCAATTGATAAATATTAACGTGATTTATGTAATTAATTTCAAATTAAGGACTCGCCGTAATTGGGCACACTGTGGCGAGTATCCTAGCATTACATTGTTATAATATATATTTAGTAGTTGTCGAACATTATTAAATCATTAAATCATTATTCGGAGTGTGTTTATTCTTATATTTCTTAAAATTGTCTGCTGGTAAAGGAGTTTTAGTATATAATCATTATTATTACAGCCAATTAATTATCAGTGTCGTCTTTCTACACCTGTTATCTTCAAACCAAATCTGTACAGTGTGAAAAAAGTCGCGAAAACAAAAGGCATAAGCGAAAAAAGTCGCGAAAAAAGTTACGAAAAAAGTCGCGAATGAAGTCGCAAATAAAGTCGCGAAAATAAAAGGCGTAAGCGAAAAAAGTCACGTGTAAAGTCGCGAAAGTAAAAGGCGTGAAAGAAAAAAGTCGCAAAAATAAAAGGCATAAGCGAAAAAAGTCGCAAAAATAAAAGTGGTTTGTCTCTAAACCACCGTAGTAAACCAATCACAGAATTAACTTGTTCATGCATGTTGATGAGTTCAAAATAAAGAAACTTTGTACATATGTATTAATGATTAATTGATTGAAACGTGTTTTAATAACACAAACTAGTGCAAAAATACTATAAAGTATTGACCCTCACAATATAAAGTCTAATGCATGTATATTGTAGAACTAGAAGCCTTGTCAACAGCAAGGCATTTCGCTGGCCTCAAAGCGACAAAACGTAACAAAGCAACGGTTTTACTAACTCTAACTCTACTCCAAACACCAAGTCTGCCCTAACCCTAATCTTTATCCTAACCCTAACCTAACTTAGCCCAACTACAGATTCGATCGTTTCTAAACCAATCTTGAAGAAAAAAGTTTTGACGAAATTTAAATGTCATTCTGAGGTCAGCGAAATAGTTGATACCGTAAAGGAAGCCTTTCATTAAAAAGTGGATTAATTGGAGTTTTAACGCATCATTTCAGCACAATTTGCATTATTTTCTGGATACCAAAATTTCTACAAAATTTCCATCATTTTTCCAGTTCTGCAAACACAGGCGGCCCAATCTCTGAACGTCCTATATATTTTGAATATTTAACCGTTATAATATTTTAAAATAACAAAATAATTCAAAAAATATTAACAATGTATGTAAAAAATATATCTCACTTGTTAAAGGTGATCTACAGTCCGTATGTAAACAAAGCCTTTGTTTACATTTTTTTGTCCAAAATATTGAGCTTTATTCGACAACTATTTATATTTTCAAGCTTGTAGAGTATAATAAATGATCAAGAAACAACAATCAGGCTTTTCAAGAACTCAAAACATAGTCAAACTGTTTGTATCATAAAAAGTGGGCTCATTTGTGCACATGCGCAGATCGGACTGTAGATCACCTTTAATAGAATCCATTTGTTGTGTTTCTGAGTCTAGTTGATGCGATTGCTTTACGTTTTCGTCGTACTTGAACGGCCGTCAGTACTATGGCACTGGACGACATGGCCGTTTAGGACTATGTAAAAAATATATCTCACTTGTTAATAGAATCCATTTGTTGTGTTTCTGAGTCTAGTTGATGCGATTGCTTTACGTTTTCGTCGTACTTGAACGGTCGTCAGTACTATGGCAATGGACGACATGGCTGTATAGGACTATGTCCTAAACGGATTCTATTAACAAGTGAGATATATTTTTTACATATATTGTTAATATTTTTTGAATTATTTTGTTATTTTAAAATATTATAACGGTTAAATATTCAAAATATATAGGACGTTCAGAGATTGGGCCGCTTGTGCTGCAAATAGTAGTTCCATTTCACTTCAAAAGTTCCATATAAAAGTAAAAGGAAAATATCCTTGCAAGATGAAGTAATGTGACCATGTGCATATGTTTTGCGGGCGCAGAAACCCGGGGGACGTGAGCTAGGCAACGGATGATAGTTTGTGGTCGGTATTTTAATGCCAGGGCAGCCTTGTAAATATTTATACGAAGAAATTTTATAGTCATCTGTTATCTAACAACTACGTTAGGACACTTTGGCGCTACGAGAAATTTTCGCTAGGAAAATGGACAAATTTAACAAGCTGGTCATTGGCACGACGATCGATATACGACGAAGCGATGGTGAGATTTGTTTGAATTTCATTCTTTGAGTCGACATGTACAATACATTTTATCATCACGGATTTGAAATCCGCTGTTGTAACTTGACTGTGTTTGTTTAGCATTCTCATTATATACGTTGATAAATTAAACGTAGTGTTATAGGCAATTTTGCCTTTCGATTTTGACTTACAAATATGAATTGTCTTTTGAAAATTTGTTAATTTGGTTTCATTGTGTACAGACTACAGACGCGATCCAGTCGTCCAACACTTGAGGCAAAGATTACGAATTCGTTGATATCAGTTTGTCTTGAAGATAGGGATGTGTCATTCGTCGGCGTTTATGCTTAAAATGTTCTCAAAATTTTCCAAGGCTTGAAGTCAATCTTAATATTTAACTCTTTGGCGCTTCATGTACTTAGAGGCACGATTCTGACAGAATTTTAAAAGCTGTCTGTCTGTGACGAAATGGTTATTTATAGATCATCACTTCGAATGAAATCCATTTAGTTAGGGACGGCCAATTATACCATTTAGGAGGAGAGAGATGGCTAGAAAAAATTCCCAACATTTCACATTTTGTTGCACCCACCCCCTACTCTATATCAAATAATCCAGACTGCCCCCCCACTTTTATTTTTAACCCATTAAGTTGCATTGCGCCCTGATACCCTCCTTTTTTTACTATGTCTAACGCCATACATACAATTTTACTCGTCACTTGGAGAGAGTGGTGGCGCTCAATGGGTTAATCAAAGAATCTGCCCATGTGTCTAGCTATATAACAGGTAGACAAACAAGAAAAAACCAAATCAGGCAAAGAGAAATATTAATTTCTTTGCATTCACTCTAAGATTCGAACTCATGATGTTCGACCCTAAGTCTAAGTCGATTTATGTTTGCATAAATATGTATACAATTGTATTGTGATTGTCAGTGTTATCTGCAATATTAACACTGTAATTTTATACTGCAACTTCACAACATGGCTGAGGGTACAGTACCAGATGAGCTGCATCTACAGTGACTCTAATACAATAATACAATACAATACAATGCGGCTACCAGCTGGGGTAATTTAATTAACTGTAATACAATGCTACAATGCAATATGGCTACCAGCCGAGCCTGTCTCCAGTAATTTATTATTGTATACTGCTAACAATACATCACAGCTACCAGCCGAGATCAGGCCTACATATAAGTGCCAGTCATTGTCTGGTGAATTTTTTCACTTTGACAGTCAAATACGGTCTCTTGCCAGACACACATGGCCAATTAGTTTTTCTAATTGTAAAAATGCGTTCCCGAGCGAATTTTTGTTTTCCGCAATTTTGTGTTTACTCATGAGAAAAGTGGAATTCACAGCAGGCATTACACCTAAAGCATACGCTCGCTACTCAAATTACATTTGTCATCAAAACTTCCTGGCTCAGATATAGTATGATATGGCAAAGAATTGTTGTGTTTGTCCATTGAATACTATATGTTCTTGTATAAATTCTGCTGTGACCATCGAATAATAAGCAACAGTTTGTAATTTGTACAATATAATTCATATTAATTAATACACAATTTTTTTCTGTTTGCATTATTTTGTACAATAATTAAAAATAATATTAGCAAGCATCACTGCCGGTGAAATGGAAGGACCATGATTGGCTGAGAAGCACTTTCAGTGATCCATTATTTTCCCGCAATGGACCGGCGGTTCATTACATAAAAACAGATGCATGTATTTTAAAACAAAACAGCAAAACTAATTGAAAATTTGGGAATTATAATTTAATTTGTTATTAAATTAATAAGATATATGCAAATGATTTTTAGTGGAGAAGAAGGAATTACATTGGTATTTTTTCGTTTTCGTCGACCGAATGTGTACCGTACGCTACTACAACCCTTGAAAACCGTCAACATTGAGGTTGGCAAAAAAATGCCCACCTAAATGTGACCTAGGTTGACCCACGTCTCGGCATTTTTAAAACTCTGTTTCCATGTCTTGCAGCACCAGTAATCACATATTAGTGAATCACCAAAAAGTAACACAACCGCTTTTCATTTGGAGTCTTACCTAAGGCCAAAAAAAAAATATGTGGATTTCCGGTTTCTTCTTATAAAAACTTAGGTAGGGTAGGTCGGTTTTAACTTTTTTTTTAAACTTTTTTTTTAAATTTTCCGAACAACCGGACGCCATTTTGTTTAGTCAGTGCTTCCACATCCAAAGATAAATTTCCCTAATATTGCCTCAAATTTCAATTTTCCACAAAGTTTTTCCTCTAAGTGGAAACACTTACAAGCATGATCCAATAAAAAAGTTTAGGGTCGGGATTTCAACGTGTAAAAGCTAGGTAGGGTCGGGAAACCGGAAACGCACATATTTTTTTTGCCTAAATTATATATTGAATACCCGTCAATTTTTAAACCTTACACTGAATTAAGTGTGCTTAATTCATCGAACTACAAATTGAAATCTATAATTGCTGACTTTTTAACAGCTATCAGCAGAAAAAATTCTTACTTTGGCTGAATTAAGGTCAGCAAAAATTTTCCGACCTGGGAGGCTGATAGGTCGGCATTTAGGTCGGCATTGCCGAATGCTGACCTCGTTTTCGAGGGGTGCTGCAACTAATATGAATTTCAAATTGTGCATTTCTTGTTTGTTTCAAGTATCAATGCATATAAATTAACCTTGCTTGCTCGGTATATGTATACAGAGAAATACTGGACCTCGGTCTTTTTGTACAAACCTTGCCCTATGGGCTCGGGCTGTACAAAAAGGACCTCGGTACGATATTTCTCTGTACGGACCTCGCGTTCGGTTAATAAGAAGTTATTAACCATTAAGTGCTGCAGATCCAGTAAAATCGTCGGGCTTTAGACAAGTAAAAAAGAAGTAGGGCCCATGCACTGGGGTGAATTGCAGCTCATTGGGTTAACATAGAGACATTTTCAGATTTTTTGGTTAACCCATTAAGCTGCAGAGCTTCCCCATTGACGAGTAAAATCGTCAGACTTTATAGACAAGTAAAAAGGCGCACGTACTGGGAGTGCATTGTGTCTCATTGCAGGGTTAATACACATTTTTTCTTTGTTTCATCTGTTTGTAAATCTTTTCTTGTATTTTGTGTCAATAAAACGGCCTATTTACTAGTCAAAATTCAGGATATTCTGATTATCTGTAATCATATACCTGCACAATTTTAAGTTCATGACTGAAAATGGTTGAAATAAGAAAATCAAAAGATGACCGGCCAGACATCCATGTTGACCGCCAAATTTAATAATGCACCGGTCATATGGCATGACCGGTGTACCTTCTAGATTTATTTTGAGGCCTGGCCGAGATTTATTAACTTTAATACTGGCAATACTACAATACTGTAAACCTCCGACAATAAGCCCCCC